ATTAATGTTTTGTGACTTAAAGTAATGAACAAAAAGTTTTCACTGAAAGTTGCTCTATATTTATTCATTTATTTTAACATGTTTTAACCTTCTCGAATGTAATTTTTTTTCTTTCAGTCGAAACGTTCGTCAGTGATGAAACGTAGTGCGCAAAACTTTGCGAGAAGATCACATGATCGAAAAAGGAACGGAGACTTTCGTAGTCGCAAATTAATCAGTCAACGACTTAGACTTAGCCGAACAAAATATGATATCGAAGATGGAGTCGTTGAAATAATGCCTGGTCTTCCACAAAAAATTGATTACAAGGAGATTTGTATACCACAGTAAGTTTTTTTCTAAATGCTTCTATGCTTATTAACATTGCAAGTAAGATGAAATTATTTAAATTCAATGTCTATTTGCATGTAAGAAAAATTTTGTAAATTTAATCTATTTATTGTGACTACTTCAGCTGGGAACGAAAATCACTCGATTTGACAGCTGAGGAGGGCTCAGGTTGCGCGCATTTAGCCGAATGCTCTTGTGTCGCTAATATCTCCCGACGACATCTGCCATATGAATTAAATGAACGAAAACGCTTTCAACAGTATAGGTTCGTTTTATTGGTACTATTAAGGCTGCAGACTCTTGATCTATAAATAAGGATTGTAGTAGCGCTATTTATTAAAAGTAGAAAACCTTCAACTTTATCTCTTAAACTGAAGCCCATGCAGATTTTATTTATAATTAGAAGATATGTTGTTTGGATTTCATGGCTCGTTTTTCCCAGAGGCGATACATAAATCGTTAGATTTCTGATCTGATAGTATTAACCGTTGTCATTGTAGAGATTATGTGGCAGCAAAATCTGCGGCAACGGCTTCCAAGTTATCAGGGTCTAGTCATTCTAAGCTTCGAGCTACAAGCACTGCACCATCAGCTACAGGTTCAGCCGATAGCCCTAGTTTTTTGGGAAGCACACAATCAGTATCTGCTGTGCCAAGTCCTGCAGCTCCATATTATGCTTTCGATGACGATCAATTGAGCTCGAATAATGATTTAGTATCATCTGTTCCTGACTATGACCGTCCTTCGCTTATTTCACCTTATTCACCAAGAGTTTTTCCCATTCCAGAAGTAAAGTGCTATATTGCAGAAACTTCTAAAAACTGATTGTACATTCTCATGTGATGCATTTGTAACTTTAAGCTCTTTAAAATGTTTTTTTTGAAGTAATTTGGAAAAAAAAATGGATTTTCGGCATCAGACTTAGATAAATAGATAGAAATTTTAAAATTCTTATGTGAGCTTCATCGTTTATAATATTAATTCAGGCTACACTTTTCTATGTTCTGCTTTCAAATATAAGATTTTGTTAGCATTGAGATTATGAAACCCCGTATAGCAATTTTAAAATGTCAAAAGGTTGCAAAGCTTTCTTTTACAAAAGGTTGAATTATATAAGATTTAGTTTATTTTACAACCTACAACCCCGACTAAAATAAATCTTATAATGAAAGACAAATCAGGCCATGTTTTGTCTCACAGCTATTTTTGTGTGATGGACATTTCCAGTAGGAAGGGATAGCTAAAAAAGAATTAGTTTGCATCTTTGTAGTTTGAAATTCATGTCTTAGCTGGGGTGACTGACCATTGGTATGGATGTCGCATAGTATAAGAATGGTCTTCATCGGTTGAGATCAAATTGACTGCAAAAATTTGGTGAAATTTGTTGCACAGATTGTACTTTCATTTCTTCTTTCAGGTAAGCGGTGAAATTTTTAATAAGTAGCGTTGTTTCCATATGTAAAGTTATCCTGAAACGTGTATTCAATGCGTTGCACCACTTTTTATCTCGTTATAAAGTCTCTCAGTATGAACACTTTGCTGATTATAAGATTTATATTGATAAGGAATTAAGAAATTTTGAATTATCATCAAATCTGCGGTTGCGTGGGCAGTCCCTTATGAAAAATAATGACTTGTAGTTGTCACATAGTTTGAAAATGGGAAGCGTACTGGTACTGGTCCAAATGTTCAAATGTAAAAAACTTCACGTGTTTAGTTATGTTGTATTAACCTCATTGTGTTGCATTCTTGTGCGTTTGTAAGTGTTTCATTTACCATCAGTGTTTGTCAAGTTTTTTAAGATAGTTATTTTTTAGGTTCTTTTTCATGTTCTTACTCGTGCTTCATTATTAAATGTTTCATGGAAGTGTGCCGGAATAGAGCTGAAGCATACTAAAAGCTTATATTGTTTTGCATGTGGAGCTCTTGAAATGGGAGCTTTTTTAATTCTTTGTTGTTATCTTGTTTTCTGTACAGTATGCATTTCTGGCAATTTTTTAAACTGTCACCATTTACGTAAATAGGCATTTTCTGATACGTATTTTATCCAGTTGTTTATTATATAGTGAGATAAAAAAACTTTTGTTCTCCTGAGCAAGATTTTCTTGCTACGCAGTTACTATCGTCTTGAATTGTAAATGGAAATTAAGGAACAGCCCTGAAACTTTGTTGTATTTCGTAGTTTATTTACACTTTAGTTTCCAAACGGAACGAAATGTTGCGGAGGAATGTTCTCATGCTGTACAGTTGAAATGAAGTAGTGACAGCTGTTGCAATTGGGCTGAACATTACTGTCAGTTGAAGGCGGCAGTCGTTGGTGTAAGGCTACTCGACTGACTGCAACTTCTAAGCGTGTCTTGTAGTAGTCTTTCACGTAATCATCTTATTGCATCATCCACATGAATTAATTCATCCAAGCTGTGCATTTCATTGCTAAAGTCTTTACCTTTGGAAGTTGCAAGTGAAACATGAAAAACGCTGGTGACACGTGTCACTACCACATCTATCAACAACGAGTTACTGCTTATGTCAAGTAACTATTCGTAGCTGTTCTGGCTACTCTCTCAATTTTTGTTTCCCTTCTCTTTTCCCTCTATCGTATTATCTCTCTCTATGTATACATAATTTGCAAAATGTATGTATGTATATGTGTGTGTATGTGTGTGTGTGTGTGTGTGCATGCTGTATATGTGTGTGTATATTTTCAGTGTGAATTGCTTACTAGCAATACAATCGATCATGAACAGAAAGCTAGATATAAGCGTCTTATAGAGTACGGAGCAATGTGAGTACCACTTCTTTCGATGACACTCTGCTCTACAGCAGTAATAATTATCACATGCTCTGTGCAATTTCTTCTAATGACTTGTTGCTTTGCATTATTACTTATTGTACGTTTTTGTAATTAGTGTTCTATACTTTTCACTTTTGTACTTAGTATTTTTGTATTATTACTGTATTTAATAATTAATATTTTTTGAATGATATCATTTCAGCTGTCGTCAGTGAAGCTAATCATGCTGTTGTTGTTGTATATTTATTTTTATTATAAAACAGAAATAGTTTTTTATTGCTTTTTTTTAATGCAGTTATCTTTTTTAGATTAAGAGTTTGCATGTCTGATTAACAATATTAGTGTTTATAAGATTTTAATATTTACTATTATTAGTATTTTCACTGTCATTATCACTATTACTTTGATATTGTTAAGTTAATAGTATTGTTAGTATGCT